TGCCAATCTGGGCCATCTTTGGCGCCTTCGTGATGTTAGTTTGGCTGTAAAAGGTCGGATCTACAACGCGTTGGTGAGAGCAGTTCCGCTCTATGCTCGTGAAACCTGGCCTCTCCGAGCTGAGGATGTTAGACGACTCTCTGTGTTCGATCATCGCTGTCTCCGAAGGATTGCTGACATCCAGTGGCAACACCATGTTAGTGATGCAGAGGTTCCACTTTTATTTTACCATAGAAAGAAAATACCGTTATATTTTAGGTCTATTGCAGTGAACGAGGACACAAACAGGTATAATCAAGTGCATTCGAATACAAAATTACAGAACTTCTTAGGAAAATCTGAGAACCATATAATCAATACTTAATTTGCGAAATGTCAATCAATCGTCTCAAACTTCACTATTCCTTCATTTCCACAGCATTCATTCGTTGTTCTCTTTTCTTCGCTCTTCTTCACCTTTGCTGTCAGGTATTTCACTTTCGATTGATGACATATACTACTTATATCTATCAGTAGCACACACCGCACTATCTCTTATTTTTATGTACTTTTGAAAAGTAGATGAACTAAAACTGTTATGCCTGGCCTATCGCCACTGTTATGTACGCACTGAATACGTTGTGTCTGCAGTCTTACTGTCTTTGTTTGATAGTCGGTAACTACTGGACTTCCCCGATCTTATTGTTTTTTTACTGGGAGACGGGAATCACTACAATTCCCACAACGCAAAGTGAGAACACGAAAGACTAGTGCAATAAAGATCTATTGACTCTCCAAAAACTTTGTCCTCAGGCATAAAATACAATCATTTATGTACTAATTTTAACACAAGATATTACAGGGGGAAACATATAGCTACTGTAAAAACACCGAATATAGTTCACCTGTTAAATGCGAACGAAGAATAAATGGGTAGTAACTGCTAGGAATTATTTATGGACTATTATTACATATATTCTTATTGGATAATTATTAAGTAGCTCGACTATATATACTTATATCCCCTTTATCATAAGCTATCATTTGACCTATTGGTCACTATTGTGCGACTTAGTATTCTTAATTTGTTCCCAATCTATTGTTTGCAGTCTCCCATACAGCCACTTTTGGCTTGATCTTATATAGTTCATATTTTTTATTTTATGATGAGATGCAGTATGGTTTGCTTGTATATAAACTACGTATTTCTGAAGTATATAATTCACACAATCGAGGCCAATATTGTGTTCTGAACTTATATATATCTGGTGCCCCCTTGTACCAATATTTATGTGTTCAATTAAATAAATCTGAACTCAATGAGCAGGGCAAGGCGAGAAGCTAATATATTTGAGGATCAATAAAGATTTGGAGTTAACTCAAGGCTGCTAATGCTGGTTTATTCGTCATTGCTTTAGTACACGGACAAGGTCATAGACGTCTATATTCTGATTGGCGATTTCGTCACTTGTTAATTGACCGGGGCATAAGTTGATGATAATTTGACACAAGAAAATATTGTCGTCTTTTTATTCTGTCATATTAAAACTGACAAGAGTTATTATGTTAACTAGCCTTTACCAAGACTTAACAGTGGAACAAAAACACTTAGGATATTTTGTTTTTTTGAATACGGGTCTCGGATAGACAACAAACGTCAATATTAAGACTTTCCAAAGACATAGCCAGCCCTATCTGTTGTCCGACCTGCATGAGTGTGCGAACAGCTCTGATGGATCTAAGTAATGGTGGTGTGGATCTGTTACCTGGAGAAAGACTTCTCGACCTTGAGTATGTGTATGATATTGTCTTACTGTGCGAGAATGCCCAAGCCATGCAATCCGCACTTAATCAGTTGGCAATCAATGTCCGTAGGTATGGTATGTGCTTTGCACCTTCGAAGTGCAAAGTACTTCTACAAGACTGGCAGGATTCTAATCATGTGCTCACTCTGAATGGTGAGCAGATAGAAGTAGTCGAGAAGTTCGTGTATCTAGGTAGCTGCATAAGTGCTGGTGGTGGCGGCGTGAGTGATGAGATCAATGCACGTATAGTGAAAGCCAGAGCGGCTTATGCCAATCTGGGCCATCTTTGGCGCCTTCGTGATGTTAGTTTGGCTGTAAAAGGTCGGATCTACAACGCGTTGGTGAGAGCAGTTCCGCTCTATGCTCGTGAAACCTGGCCTCTCCGAGCTGAGGATGTTAGACGACTCTCTGTGTTCGATCATCGCTGTCTCCGAAGGATTGCTGACATCCAGTGGCAACACCATGTTAGTGATGCAGAGGTTCCACTTTTATTTTACCATAGAAAGAAAATACCGTTATATTTTAGGTCTATTGCAGTGAACGAGGACACAAACAGGTATAATCAAGTGCATTCGAATACAAAATTACAGAACTTCTTAGGAAAATCTGAGAACCATATAATCAATACTTAATTTGCGAAATGTCAATCAATCGTCTCAAACTTCACTATTCCTTCATTTCCACAGCATTCATTCGTTGTTCTCTTTTCTTCGCTCTTCTTCACCTTTGCTGTCAGGTATTTCACTTTCGATTGATGACACATACTACTTATATCTATCAGTAGCACACACCGCACTATCTCTTATTTTTATGTACTTTTGAAAAGTAGATGAACTAAAACTGTTATGCCTGGCCTATCGCCACTGTTATGTACGCACTGAATACGTTGTGTCTGCAGTCTTACTGCCTTTGTTTGATAGTCGGTAACTACTGGACTTCCCCGATCTTATTGTTTTCTTACTGGGAGACGGGAATCACTACAATTCCCACAACGCAAAGTGAGAACACGAAAGACTAGTGCAATAAAGATCTATTGACTCTCCAAAAACTTTGTCCTCAGGCATAAAATACAATCATTTATGTACTAATTTTAACACAAGATATTACAGGGGGAAACATATAGCTACTGTAAAAACACCGAATATAGTTCACCTGTTAAATGCGAACGAAGAATAAATGGGTAGTAACTGCTAGGAATTATTTATGGACTATTATTACATATATTCTTATTGGATAATTATTAAGTAGCTCGACTATATATACTTATATCCCCTTTATCATAAGCTATCATTTGACCTATTGGTCACTATTGTGCGACTTAGTATTCTTAATTTGTTCCCAATCTATTGTTTGCAGTCTCCCATACAGCCACTTTTGGCTTGATCTTATATAGTTCATATTTTTTATTTTATGATGAGATGCAGTATGGTTTGCTTGTATATAAACTACGTATTTCTGAAGTATATAATTCACACAATCGAGGCCAATATTGTGTTCTGAACTTATATATATCTGGTGCCCCCTTGTACCAATATTTATGTGTTCAATTAAATAAATCTGAACTCAATGAGCAGGGCAAGGCGAGAAGCTAATATATTTGAGGATCAATAAAGATTTGGAGTTAACTCAAGGCTGCTAATGCTGGTTTATTCGTCATTGCTTTAGTACACGGACAAGGTCATAGACGTCTATATTCTGATTGGCGATTTCGTCACTTGTTAATTGACCGGGGCATAAGTTGATGATAATTTGACACAAGAAAATATTGTCGTCTTTTTATTCTGTCATATTAAAACTGACAAGAGTTATTATGTTAACTAGCCTTTACCAAGACTTAACAGTGGAACAAAAACACTTAGGATATTTTGTTTTTTTGAATACGGGTCTCGGATAGACAACAAACGTCAATATTAAGACTTTCCAAAGACATAGCCAGCCCTATCTGTTGTCCGACCTGCATGAGTGTGCGAACAGCTCTGATGGATCTAAGTAATGGTGGTGTGGATCTGTTACCTGGAGAAAGACTTCTCGACCTTGAGTATGTGTATGATATTGTCTTACTGTGCGAGAATGCCCAAGCCATGCAATCCGCACTTAATCAGTTGGCAATCAATGTCCGTAGGTATGGTATGTGCTTTGCACCTTCGAAGTGCAAAGTACTTCTACAAGACTGGCAGGATTCTAATCATGTACTCACTCTGAATGGTGAGCAGATAGAAGTAGTCGAGAAGTTCGTGTATCTAGGTAGCTGCATAAGTGCTGGTGGTGGCGGCGTGAGTGATGAGATCAATGCACGTATAGTGAAAGCCAGAGCGGCTTATGCCAATCTGGGCCATCTTTGGCGCCTTCGTGATGTTAGTTTGGCTGTAAAAGGTCGGATCTACAACGCGTTGGTGAGAGCAGTTCCGCTCTATGCTCGTGAAACCTGGCCTCTCCGAGCTGAGGATGTTAGACGACTCTCTGTGTTCGATCATCGCTGTCTCCGAAGGATTGCTGACATCCAGTGGCAACACCATGTTAGTGATGCAGAGGTTCCACTTTTATTTTACCATAGAAAGAAAATACCGTTATATTTTAGGTCTATTGCAGTGAACGAGGACACAAACAGGTATAATCAAGTGCATTCGAATACAAAATTACAGAACTTCTTAGGAAAATCTGAGAACCATATAATCAATACTTAATTTGCGAAATGTCAATCAATCGTCTCAAACAAGTATCTGTTCATTCGCAATCATTTTGTTTGACGTACCATTGATGTTCAGATGCTTCATATTGAATTTGTGGAAAATGCATAAAATTCGCCACTATATAATTCTCTATGCTTACAATAATTTTATAGCAAAATTTGCATAACATAACATGAATAATCCATGACAAGCATAGTATTAAAATATTTCAAACTACTAAATAAGAACTTTCGTCTAAATTTGAACGAACAGTTTCACAATATTTGGGCGCCGAGTTAATGTGAGACATTAAAGAGAAAAAATGTATTTGTAAAATCTCAGCGAATGAATTTTAAGTAAATCCAACGTTTCGCCTGGCAATCTGGTCCAAGCTTTTTCAAGGAAAATTTTCATTCGCTGAGATTTAACAAATACATTTTTTCTCTTTAATTTCAAACTACTGTTTGCAAACTACATATTAACTATTATTTGAAGTTATTTTTTTTCCATAAATACAATTAGTATTGCATAAAATAACTGTATCCTGTTACATGATTCGTTCGTCAGATTGTTTTTATAATCATAATTAAGCTTTGAGTTAAATAGGTGTACACTTATCAAATTTTTTTTCGACCAGCAAGTCCTTTTTATACAACAAAATAAGTGTGATTATTATTTATATATTACATCGATTATACAAACATATTGTAAAAGATATTAAAAGTACCATATTTTTCCATATAACAATTGTAGTTTACAAAACGCTGATGGAATATATATATATATATATATATATATATATATATTCACACTGAACATGCACAAATGCCGTTGCATCACATTAGTTTGTTTAACTCAGTATTACTAACTGATAACAACATATGTTTATTGGTAGTGGATCAATTATTTAATAAATTCATCAGTGTATTCTAAACCTTGTCTAGTTTGGTTTCGTTATTTTCGATTTAAAAACACTTGGAACAACGTGGGGAGGGTGGACAGAAAAAGTGAAAAAACAAACGAAATCGATTTTGCTGTCGAAAAAGGGCAGGACAAAGTCAGTTAGTTTTAAGTAACGTCAACTGTTCAATGAGCTGTTCAACAGCTTGTTTGTGGCTTAACTTTATCAATTGATCTTTGTTTAAATTCTCTCCAGCTTGTTTCTTTTTCTCTATCTCTTCGATTTGGAGTAATCGTTTATGTTCACGTCTAAGCTGCCGATCAATATTTTCAGTGGTAGTCACGGTCGCATCACTTGGAATTGCAATGTTCGCCTTATCAGAGTGATTTGGTGAAATAGTACTGCGTTTTGTAAGCTTTGTTGGATCCAGTTCTGTTTGGTCTGATGTTCCTAAAAATCAAATCGAAGCAATTTCAAATCACACCAAAACACCTCTTTTGAGTAGACTCATATGAATGATGACTTTATGGAGTATTTATATGAGATCTTGCTACACGTAACTAGCGGTGATGATAGCTATGATGAACCGACTGCACAGAAATGATAGGAGCAATTTATATTGCAGATTATCAGTGAAATCAGGCAAATTCATATGAATCGGTAAGAGTATGAAGTATTATTGTAAGTAACGTATTGCATATAATATCCGTCAATATGATATCGTTGAATGAAGGACAATTATGCAGCACTTCAAAACTGTGAGTGGGATTATAAAGATTCATAAACTTGATTATGAAATCTAAATCAGCAGCTTTAATGATGACGAAGTTTTTTTTATGTGATATCAATATCGAAATTTACTCTTAAAATAGATATTCGCTTTAACTATAACATCATTTTAAATTTGCTCTTTAATATTTTGCAAGGTTTTGCGGATTTTCATTTCCTAGCTTTTTACAACGTAGTTACTTCATCCTGCATGGCGTTATTATTCTACTAGCAGAAAAAAATATTGATCCTCAAAATACAAAAAAAACAGTTGGTTAATAATCAAGAATTTTCAATTCATCAGAAATATCTAATTTATTCATTTGAAGCCCCTGCCAGGGAAGTCCTACTCAGTGCCTTCTCGCAGTGGGGGTGTTGTTTACAAAAATGAGAGGACGAAAATCGAATGTCCGGCGCTTTAACCGGATCCCAAACCAATGGTGCACATGGGTTCCAGTATCCTGAAGGAACAAATGGCGTATGAACCAATCGTTGGTCACCGGCTACCATGGGACTGCATCTCCTCACGATGCTCCACTGCCTTGTGGGTCAGACGTTCAGGTCGAAGGCTCGGTGTGTGGACCCCCTAAGAAAACCACCTGCTTCGGTTTGGGCACCCAGGCAGTATCACAGCCCTCACACAAATCAATTGAGATTCGTGTGGCGCATATGTACTTGGTGCCTCCCTGTACCTATACTTATGTCTTAAAATAAATAATAAATAAATAAAATCATTTGAAGCTGGTTCATTTGTTTAAATGTATATCTATACAACGATTTTACTGAAGCTTTGATCTACATTCTTATTACTTCGAGACCCAAGTAATATTTTCATACAAGTTGATGATACGTATATGAAACATATGTTATATAAAATACGTCTGTTGGGTATGGAAAATCTGGTTTCTACATGAATATATATATATATATATATATATATATATATATATATATATATATATAATGAACAAGCACTAAAATCATTAACTGGACTAGATTGTAAGTTGAAGAATTGTTGCACTAACCTGGAGATTGGACATCAGTTTGTTTGCATTTTGATTTCTTAGACTTTTTCTTTTTAAGGACTGGGTTTAATGCTGGTGTATCAGATTGTGACTGTTTTTTTCGTTCTAGCTTTAACTTTTCTGCATCCTCTTTTGTCAAACCTGGGATGACGAACTGTGATTTCTTCTCAAGGATTTGTACACCAGCAGATCGGTAACTGAATAGTCAAAATAAAAGCGTAACGTCAATAAATGAATCGATCTCAAATGTAACGCCAACAGGCGAAACAAGAAGTTGAAAAATTCGCATATGAGGAACTCGTTTAAGAAATCATTTTGCGGGTACAAGCACATAAGCTGCCAACAACAAAGCGATTTGAATATCTATTGTTCTACCTACCAGAATGAAATTGACACATAAAGCATATTTCGTTTCCCGACAGAACAGTAATCTTGTGTGCATATTCATGTAATTGACGCATGATTGTTTTCTGAATGACAAACAAAGGATACGAAGTAACAACACAGACGGTTGTTAATTGTAAATAGGTATTAACTTCCACTTAATTACAGATAACCTATATTAGTCCATCATGGAATAAAAAGTGCGTGTTCACTGTGAATATGCTTATTAACATTCCGTAGATACCTAACTAAAGCATTGCGACTTCCACAAACTTTTGCAAAACCTCGAATACTTCGATAGATGACCCGAAAACCCATCGAGTAGATTAGTTTATCCTATTTATTTATTTGAACACATAAATATTGGTACAAGAGGGCACCAAATATATATGCGCCACACAGATCTCATTTGGTATGTGTAAGGGCTTTGATAATGCTCAGGTGCCCAAACCGAAGCAGGTGGTTTTCTTAGGGGGTCCACACACCGAGCCTTTAACCTAAAGGTCTGACCCACAAGACAGTGGAGCATCGTAAGGAGATGCAGTCCCATGGTAGCCGGTGACCAACGATTGGTTCATACGCCATTTGTTCCTTCAGGATACTGGAACCCATGTGCACCATTGGTTTGGGATCCGGTTAAAGCGCCGGACATCCGATTTTCGTCCTCTCATTTTCGTAAACAACACCCCCACTGCGAGAAGGCACTGAGTAGGACTTCCCTGGTAGAGGCTGTATTCGCGTGGCCGTGTGAGAGCATTTCGAGAGGGAGGGCGGGTCCATCCTACTCTCGGCCATATCAGGGCATTTGAGGGCAGATTAATTAATTTATCTTAAACAGTAGAATGATTTTTCGAATGCCGATATAAAAATGCTCGTAGACTTCAGTAGTTTTTAAGTTGGTACTGATGTATAGAAACTCATTTAGGTTAGGTTTGACAGATCATGTACTTCAGGGGGTTATGACATGATCATATTTACATAAATTTCAGTTAATGGGAGGTATCTTTGTAGATTTATTTTAATGCTAACAAACTTTTTTTTATTTTAAAGCTTTTTATTTTTATCATTTTACGGGGAGAACTTGTGGTAGTTTATATGCACCAAATATTTTTTGGGGTCGTAAAATTACCAAGAAATACTAAGCCAATTTACAAAACTTGGTAAAAACAAAATAAAGCAACATAACCTACAGTGGAATTTCTTCCTGAGGAATATACCCCTCTTTGACACGAACGGCTTTTCTCCATGTACCATCGGGTCTTTGGGTTGGGGGGATTATCAAATTACCTATATGACCAGATTTAAACTACTAGTAAATAAAACTATACCGTTTTCATCACGAACGACACCTTGTCTTGCAAATCCATTCATTTTAGAAGCCGTTTTGAAGGTATGAATCCCAAGTGTCTAGTCTGCCGTAGCAGATACTTTTTAGAGTAAAATAGACTTTGTTTTTAATAGGAATAAACAGGCATCTGGAATTGTAAAAAAATATACTGTAAATTTAATATGGGATTAAAATCGTTTTGTGAAGCAATCTAGTCAAGCTAATACATATGTGTACCAATTCCTGTATGGAATAAGCGTAAAAACAAACCATCTAGCGACACAATGCATCTGATGAAATAAGTCGATTGGTTTCTGCAGATTAACCTAATAGGCTCGCAAACCTTATTAAATGAGATCTGAACCTAACCATGAACTGATCTAAATAGTGATAACCAATGCAACATCGAAACTGGTGAATTCTCGTGTTAGTCACTGCAATCCCAAATGTTTGTAACAAATGGTATATATATATATATATATATATATATATATATATATATATATATATATATATATATATATATATAATTTCTACAATGGATGCAGTTTTCCCACTTCTGGATTAATATACTACCGATTGAAAGACAAGGGTTTGCAGCTCATTCATTAGTCTATTAGTTGGAAACCCGATACTTAAGCTTACTTATTACACGCTATCTCAATAATAACCACTAGTTTTACTGACAAAACTAGGATGGATTCGAATGCGTGACCCTATGGCTGATAGTCAAACACATTACATAATTTGTATACATTATCCGTCACAATCTCAAGGTCCATTTTAAAACTATATCATTCCACTCCGTGAACAACCCGTTTAGCTCCTACATTTGTTTTGACAAACCGAACCCCGAAAACGTCTTTATGTATGACTGACAGTCAAAATTGTTAAATAAACACCACTTATGACATTAACAGGGTAAAAGTTGTATTTAAAGCAAAACGGACCACTCAGTCACGGCAAGCTAAAGAAATCAATGTTTTTTTTCAACTCATAAGCTAGAACAAGTTAAAGCATATAGTGGTAAAGATTAGCAGAGTATAGGAGTGATGCTGGATAACATGATTAGTTTTTAACAGGTTTATTTATTTGAACACATAAATATTGGTACAAGAGGGCACCAAATACATATGCGCCAGGTGGGAAACTTGTGTTAAACATTGAGGAAATGTGGTTTTTGTATGAACTGATTCCTTTGATTTTGATTACTGCCTAATTTCAAATTCCAAACACAATACGTTCGTTTGTGCTCGTCTAATACTTATTGATTAAATTGCGTTATTTCTGGGAAAAAACGGTAAATGCAACCTTAAAGTTTCTTTAGAATGAAGGAGGAGAATCATGAATGAGGAGATAATTGTCAGATATAGTTAGATTACTATGTTGCCCGTATTAACTAGATGAGCTCAAATTTTGATTCTTTTCCGAAGCTATACTAAGTAGTGACAACTAATGACTGTTTGATGGGTCGATAATGTTCGGTTACACTATATACCCTGTCAGATACCACTACAAAGCCAAACGGGAGCTAATATCAGGCTTGTTTTATGAGGCCAACAGAAAGTATTTATCGGATTTCCTGTAAATTCTTAGGGAAAACAACTTGTCGTACACTGAAAGATCTGGATTAAGACTATTTAGTTTATATGGAAGAGAATAAGCTCTTGATAAGGGATTTTCAAAGTAACCATAATGGCACAAAATATATGTAATTATAATTACATTTGGTTAACCAAATGATATCCTTTGGTTGTGTCATATAACATAGATCTCGGACACCCAACATGCAACACGACCCTAAAAACACTTCAAATCAAGGATTTACCCATTTTCCTATGGCAACACTTTAAAATGTAAAATATTTGAGAGTATAGCAACCCCTAATGCTTTCACGACTATGTAACGTCACACTTAATGATTGCGCAGTAGCATAAATACTTCGTTAATATCGCAAAAACTTCGCTTATGGTGAAGTCTCCGTAATATATTTGAACATGATAACCTAGTTAGTTTGCACATATCCTTCATTAGACATAACTATTTGTTTGTATTCACCTGCTTTACTTCTAGTATATTTGTGCTAGTAATTGTCACGTATAATGAACCTCTTCTACACACCACTTCTGACTTTGTTTACACCCAGATAACTCAAAAACTGAAGTTTGATAAGATCCATAGTCTACCTGTAGCCATTTTCCTATTATCTGGTTGCAGTACGGCACGCTGAAACGGAGCTGAAACAAGTGTATCAGTAATCCAGAGTTACCTTGGAGCTGAAAACAGTTGAAAATAAAGTTTTTCACTTTGCATAGAACCAAACAATTGGCAAGTCTTTTTCCTAACTTTTACGTTTCTCCTGACCCTGATGGTCTTCTATTCCAGTAATCTTATTTTATTGTTAATCTCCCTATTTCCAAAGTCGCCAATACTTTGTAGTGACCTGCTTTTATCAACAGAACGCGATTGGTGTAGTGGAAACAAGTTCTATTATAACCAATTGTACCAGTGATTTTTTTACTGTACTTGTTTGCTTAGCTGTACCAAAGACATTCTTCCTTCCGTTAATTGTAACCTTGTACGGACTAACGTTTGCTCAGTGAATCCGCTTGTACTCCTTGGCACGATCTCGGCATTCTTTCGATACCACGAGATCGCCAATAAATACATCTCGACTACAACCATCACCTGCCTCCTGATATTGGCCTACGGGATCCTATTGGTTAACTGGCACGTAGTCTTCTTGTAGTGGTGTTCATAATGTAGCGGTAAATCATTCCCCAAAATAAATAGCTCTGTAAGTTTTCGACATTGGATGCTGATCACATTAGTTTTAATGGACTCATCTAGCTGAAGGCGCTTGGTCAAGCATCCGCACCAGATCACATGTGGGAACGTCGTGCTCAACATCTACCGCAATCGCTTGCCAGATTAGTACAAACGATCCTCGATATATTGATAGCTTATCAAATATATCTTCGATCTCCTCGCTTTTGTCTTTTGATTTCACTTGGTGGGTGCGCTTCATATTAGAAGGTGTTACTGATTAAAGCGTTGTCAAACTCCGAATACCTGTGGCATCTTCATTGGTGAGCCCGACGTGATCTGGTACACCAAATTGCAATCTGGGAGTCTGTTCCTTTTTGTGATTTTATATATTATTGTCTTATTCTAATTTTTTATACATCGTGATATTTTTTCCCACGTTCTTGGATATATATATATTTCCCACTCGTTTATTTTCGTACTTGATATATTAATATGACTGAACAGACACCTAAAGTATTTAAGTTAAAGACTGTGTCCTCACCTTCCTTCCAACTTATGCCTTTCTAACCAGAAAACATCGAAGCCTGGTTTCGCTACGCAGAAGCCGACTTCTAGGAGCACGGTGTAAACGATACACATGCACAATTCCTCGCAGTAGTCAAGGCACTACCATGCGAATTCAACAGGTACGTAACACCTAGTATGTTTACTAGTGATGTTTCTGACCCATACCAAACCTTCAAACATGCCATCCTTAAACGCGGAGGTCTAACTGATCGGCAAAGATTAGACCGACTCCTCAATAACATCGACCTGCAACACGGCTCTGCCACATATTTAATAGTCAAACGCAACTCGACGCCACGCTACAACTTTAATACGACAACGTTACTCATTATTTTTCTCAACAAAATATTCATAGGAAGATATATTACGAATAACGTATTTAAAACATTTTACCCGTGAGTATATCACAAGTATTCGAGACTCGACAACTCCTTTGCAAATAACACCTTCGTGATCGAAGTATGACAACCCAGTTGAACCAGAAGTTAGAAATGAAGGGGTTCGAAGATATACCTAGGAAGCTATCGAAATTTAGAGGGGCGTTTTGTCTTAGTTGGTCAGCAGTTCCAACGGATGCGTAACACGGCATACCCACTCGTGATCTGGTGCAGATGAATGACCGAGCGTCTTTAGATAGATGTGTCAAGTAAAACTAGCAAAGTTAGCTCCAATGTTGATGACACAGGGAAATATTTATTTTGAGGATACGTTGACCGCTGCATCTCACCTTCCCTTAGTGAAGCAATCATGACCTTAAAACATGGCTAGCTAGAATTTTAAACCCAACGAGCTTGTCGTCAATGAACTGTTAGATCCATTTTGAATGTTTTGTGTGTGAAAATCCCTCCATGTATACACTTGTAGTTTATTCTTATTGGTACCTTTAGTTGTACATTTTTGTTAGTCTTTTTCATTCCATTTGAGTTGATAGCATTTGTATTTTACTATGTGTTCTATTTTTATTACGCTTTCACTAAGTTTCCATGTTTCTTCCTGAACTGCCTCCATGTTGTTTTATTTGATACTTGTTCTTGGCGGCTGCCCTATTGGTTTGTGCCTCCCTTTGATTGTGTTGCGTGTATTGACTGGAATTGTGCATTTTTTATTGTGAATTGAAGCACTCTTCCAGAATTGGAAACACTCTGTGTTATAAGGCTACCAAATATTATCTTTGGAACGAATCTGTGCGTGATCTATTCAGACAAGATAGAATAGCATTTATTTGTTGCTATTGATTTGAATAATTGAACAATTATTGGTTGGATAGCTGGGTGGTCATATTTGCTTAAAACTGTCGTTTTACCCGATTACTTTGTTTTGGTTTCAAACGAACAAGGGCGCGTATCTAACCAACCTAGACAGCTATTCTTCAGTCCAAACCTTAGTTTCGATCTTACAGAACACCCTATCACCATGCTACTTCCGGCAGGATCTAGTGGTCTCTCCGTATCTTAAGGAGTCATGTGATACAATATGGTAATGAAAAAAAGAGCGAAGATTTCAGTTCTCGGTAATCCTTGGTTCTTCATCTTTACCAGACCTCTTGAAAAAGAAAAAAGTAATTGTAAATACATTTCGAAATACGCTCATACGTCCGTAAGGAGACAAAACGTGAGAAAAAAAGACTAAATTTATGTACATATGTATCGTTAACATGAGATAGTGTTAAAATAATTTTTGCACAATGATCTTTGTCGGGAAAAGAACCATACACATATATACAATGTACTAAGAAAACAATGCACGTTTTAGTTTTTATTGATATAAAATTTTTGGAAAACCAGATGAAACAAAATATTATTCAGTGTCCTTTGAGCAGTACCCGCTTAAGTATTCCTAAAATATTGTCATTTTCACCAGATCGCGCTGTTTTGGGCCGGTCGTCAGATAGCAGAGAAGTTTCGTCATGATTGTTGATTGTCAGATGAGGTTCGTAATCGTGAGGTTTATGTCGCTCCAGTGTACCGCAAGAAAATCAATATTGTTAGAGTTTCTTTCCAGATACTGAGATTTAAGAGGGTCAGTGCTGACTTTATTTTTAGTTACGTTTTTATAGGGGATGTAGTATTCAGTATTTTGAGGTATCTTTCACGTGCGATATCGAGAGGTCATCGTAGCGAATCGTGACATATAAAAACACCTGTACTATGTTGTAAGGCAAGTTGAAAGAAAACATCAGCTGATTACGGTCAAGTGAAGTCGTTCAACCAACCTGCTGGCTTGTCTACGGTCGTTCATGATCGCGTGTTTACTAGCGCTGTAGTAAGACAACGTTAAAACTCGGATTCGGACTGGCACCCACGGAATGTTATGATAGTTGAAGGACAGTCTAAATCTGCTGCTCATCGTTCAACCATGGTGTGGACCACAGTTTGGCCAGTAATGACCTTGAAAAGTAAATAAATATTATTCTTAATCACTTGTTTTATATTCACCCATGTATGTATAATTCGTAAATATTGTTATTTGATTATTCTCTGCAACTGACTGAGACTTTCCTAGCATCATTTCAAACAATTACTACACAAACACTTATTCTACCGTCATATCTTACTGCAACAATAAGTTATTTTCTCATTTGTTTACTTTTAACGTTTACTCTTATTCCGTATTCACAAACACGCTTACCAAACTATGAACGTATTTCGCGTTTCCTTCATTTCTATTTTCTAATTTTCACCCTTCCTCTCTTTAAAATTAATTCAATATTCTTTTCAATTACATAGAACGTTTTTTAATATGGCAAATATTATGCTAAGATTATCGAGTTGTGTGTATTGTTGCACGAATAAAGGAACACGAAATGGTTTATTCGCCATACTTGTTTGCTGACAAGCTGTCTATGAATAATAATAATAATAAGAGGTACTGGTTTTGGTCACTGTGTGAAGCGGTCCACACACGTTAGGAAGTGAGTTTGTTTATTCGAACCTGGCATGAGTACTATCAAATGAAGATGAACATCGTCAAAAAGAACGTCAGTAGTTATAAAGACGTCCAAGGGAAATTTATAATGTCTTATTACCATTGGTTTTTAACACTTTACACAGGAACTTGCTCACTCTCTCACGTTTTCATTCATACCGAGCCAACAAAATCGTTCTGTGATTAGCCTGATGGTTGCTTAAACAACGTATTGAAGACGTTGTATCGGTAATATTTCGACACGGTTGAGCGATTCCTACCCGTAGATATGCCACACAGACGTTTTCTTATTTATTCCCATCAGTTTAGTCTATAGATTCAGGGTTTTCGAAGATAACTCATGCTGAGGATCAGCGTCTGCTTTTTGAGTCTGGATGAGTTTAGTCACGTGAAGTAGGTCATACGCGACAAGGCTTCTTCAATTACATTGTTTGCTTCAGAAATCTGTCACGTATCTGAAGAAGATTATTAGACGTAGTCCAATTGTCAAAACTTGAGGAGAGCTTAGAGGGAAGGTGATAGGTTTGTAGTTGGTAAACAGAGTTAATTCTCGGTCCTCTACAGAGTGCGGAAAGTGTTACACAGCACGGTACATGGCTAAAAGTTCTCTGACGAAAGTTCTATACCTTGGCTCAATATCTCGCAACCGTTTCGTGGTGGCTTATGGGTTTACCAGAGTTGACCCCATGTAGCTTTAGAGAGAGCGAGTGTCAGTAGTATGCTCTTAAAAGTCTAA